AAAGGTAGCCGTTCGGGTATGTAAAAGAAAAAAACAAACGAGAATGAGTCATGGAATTTCTTTTCTATTGAAATAGGTTCGACCATTTTTACAACGAGAAAAAGCTCATGAACAAAAAAGTTGCATTTCTATACATCCACAAACAAATCAAATTGTTCTTGGTGAGAAAAGAACATTTAAATATGATTTCGTTTTCGGACCTAAAACTCAACAGGTAAATTTTTGGATAAGATCGATAAATATTAATTGAAATTTTTTTTCATTATTAGGAAGATTTATATCAAACATGTATTGAACCAATGCTTAGTAATGTTTTTGATGGATACAATGTAACAATATTTGCTTATGGTCAAACCGTATGTAATTATTTCTTATATTTATAAAATGATTCATTTTTTTTAAATGTCTTAAGGGTTCAGGAAAAACATTTACTATGACTGGTGGAAATATTTTATCAATTGGAGAAACAGAATATGGAATTGTACCACGTGCGGTTCAAACAATTTTTGATACATTACAAGTTTGTATTAATATATTTCATTGAATTATAAAATCAATTTACTTCTATATATTTAGAATCGACCAGGTTGTCATGTTACGATTTCAGCATCATATTTAGAAATATATAAAGATGATATTATCGATTTACTTGATATTAATGATAAAGCATTGGATGTTCGAGATGATGCAGCTGGCAATACTAGTAATAACCTATATGTTTATTTTGATTATATTTCATATTCGCTATTATAGTTGTTATTGGAGCAAGTGAACATAGATGTTATTCAATTGATGATGTTGTTAGTCTATTAAAAAAAGGTTCAACTGTTCGTCATGTAGGTGCAACACAAATGAATGATGAATCATCTCGATCGCATGCAATTTTTACATTATACATCGGTATATTTAATAATATAACAAAAAAAATACATATTAACTATTTCTATAGAACAACGTCTTCGAGATAAAAATTCGAATTCAACTATTATACAAGCATCTTATGATGGTCTAATTAAACCAGTGCAATCAACATTTGATGGTACTTTTTAAAAAATAGATTTAATGTTTTTTTTTATGAGATTTTTCTTAGAAAGTTACCTTTCTGCTAAACTTCATTTTGTTGATTTGGCCGGTTCAGAGCGTGTAGCACGTACACATAATACAGGTGAACGTTTTCAAGAATCAATTCGTATTAATTCTGGTTTATTGGCTTTGGGCAATGTTGTTAGTGCTTTATCCGATCCGAAAAAACGTGCCGGTGGTCATATACCTTATCGTGATTCAAAAATTACTCGTTTACTCAAAGATTCACTTGGAGGCAATGCAAAAACATTAATGATAACATGTAAAATTTCTATAAAATTTAACATAAATTTCAAAAATACTTTTATTTTTAAAGGTGTTAGTCCATGTATTGTTGATCTCGACGAATCTCTTAATGCACTTAAATATGCTCATCGAGTATGACGTGAAAGAATAATAATATTAATTATCTCTTATTTTCATTACATAGGCAAGTCAAATTCGCAATAAACCAATTAAAAATATCGATCCAAATACACAGCGTGTCGCTGATATGCAAACTGAAATTACTGTAAGTTATTAATCTTCTAATGATTAACAACATATTTATTTTATTCGTAGCATTTACGTGAGGAATTAGAACGACAACGATCAATGATATCACGTCATGGACATTCTGCTAATACTAATCGTTCAAAGTAAAAAATAATTATTGTTTTATTTTCAATATTTCATATGACCAATTTCGTGTTTAGTATAACAATGAATAACGATCAAACACGTCGTTTAATTCAAACTGCTTATGCATGTTTTAAACATTTAAATGAATGTAATGAATTAACTAATGAACAAAAACAATGGATACAAACATGGATGGATGCCGTAACTAATGTAAGACATAAGAATAAAAACAAAATTATAATTTATAATTATTTATTATTAAGGAAAATTTCGAAGATGTTTCTGATGATTTATACACATCACGAATAGTAAATTTAGAAAATGCTTTGCAAACAGTATGTATTGATATTAATAAACAAAAAAATAATTCGAATAATTTAGGCACAAAATGAGTTACGATCAGAATCTCAAATGCGTGTTCGACGTGAAATGATACTTGAACAATTACAAGAAGAGCTTAAGACAAAAGTAAAAAAATTTAAGTTAATAAGAAAATTATATTATCAAAAATTTCATATTTAGGAAGATGAATTAAATCGTATACGTCTTGCATTAGATGAAACAAATTCTCATTTAAAACAACAAGAAGATATTGTTTTACAATTACAAACTGAACAACAAGTTCGTATCTGTCATACGTTTCCTATAAGTCCTCGAAAATAATCTATTCTATATAGAATCATAATCATTCAACAAATATCTATCAATTAAATCATTCAACAGCAAAAAAATCTTTACATGATCGAATAAAATCAGCACCTTATTTTAGTGGTATGCAACGGAAGGTATTTGTTAAATCGATATTTCTTATTAAAATTTTGATATATTGTTTTTTCGTTTGATTGGATTAGTCAATACAACCACGAAATATTCATTCTAGTCCAGCTATATTTGATGTGGAATATGTTACAGATAGATTTCACGGACGATCATTAGCATTGGCACATTCTCAAGAAGAAATTGAAGAACTTGATTTGAAAGAGAATGATGAAACATTAACCGAACAAAAGTTAGTTTTATTATGATTTTCTTTTATCTATATCAATCCTAATAGAATACTTACGAGATTAAAATAGAAAAACTTAATCTTTAGCTGAAGTCAATGAAGTGAGTACAGTCAATTCTAGCTATCATGATTATCATCTGAACAAATAAATTCAATCTCTTAATCTAACTTTAACTAAATATTTTATTCGATTGTTGTCAAATACTTGAAATCATTATACTTTTTCTTCTAGTCAATTTATTCGACATAATACATATCGTGTTCGTAAAAGACGAATGACACCAAGTATTTTGCCAGAAGATGAAACTATACAAACATTAACTCAATCAACTATGAAAAAACAGAAATTAATTGATCAAGTAACTCGTAAAGTTAAAGAAGCAGAAAGCAATGCACATCTTTTAAATATGAATATTCAGTAATTATCTTTTGTTTTTCTCTCTCTCTCTCTATATATATACATATATTATTATTGTTAGACTTAAAGAACAATTAATTAAAAGTGTTTATACATCAACTAAAGATGTTAAAAATACGAATGAACAATATCAACAACATATTAAAATGCTTGAAAGAGTAATTATTTTTAAAAACAAATGAATATTTATTAATTATCTGTGTATAATTAGGAAATGGAAAAAGCTAAACTTGAATATCAAGATTTACAAAAAACAATGCAACAAATAGCAACGAAAAATACAAATGATAAATCAAAATCAGAAGGGTAAAATTCCATGCATATATGTATGATGTCATTCTTACTTTGTTTTATTTAGAGAATATCGAAAAAAATGTGAATTAGCGAAAGCTCGTTTGGATTCATTACAACAAAAAGAAAAACATTATCGAGAACTTATGATTAAACTTACAGGGAATAGTGAAAAAAGGTATGAATTTAGTAATCTAATCAAGGGGGAAAGTGCCCCATCGCCTAGTATTTTATCCAGATTTCTTTTTTCGGATGGACCGGCACCCACCCGCTAGATAAAACATTCGTCTTTGAAAATTATTTTTTAGAATTATTGATTTACAAGCTGCTCTATTTCGTATGAAACAACAGTATGAAACTTCTCAAAAACGTATACGTGAAGAAATAGAATTAAAAAATAAATTTGAACAAGATTTAATACGTGAACAACAACGTATACAAGAATTAACCATTCAAAATGAACAACAACAAAAAATATTAAAATTAAAAACTGAAGGTCTTGTTGCAGCACAACGAAAATTACGTGGTGTATCAAATGGAAATCTTACTGATAGAACATTGAATTTTGATGTTGAAATGGAAAAATTAATTACGGAAAGAAAGGAATTAGAAGGTTTAAGAGATGATATGGAGAAACGTGAAGAACTTATTAAAAAAAAAGAATTATTAATTAATGAAAAAACTGAATTGGAAACAAGAAAAGTTCGTTCAAGTCAAGTTAATAATAAGGTTTGAAAGCCATTTTTTCGTTCGAAACAAAAATTCTATTAATTTATGTTTTATATGTAGAATACAAAGAGTATTGATAAACAAAAATCAGATCGTCAAATGATACGTGAACAATTAGTCGAACAAAAACGTTTATTTACAGAAAGATTAGAAGAACAAAATGGTGTATTATCACCTACAGAAGAAAGACGTTTAATTGAAATTGGTGAAGCTATTGAAGCACTTGATTTAGCTATTGATTATCAAAATAATGTTATATCAAAACGTGAACGTGATGTTCAACAATCTATTCGAGCTAGTCAGGTACAAATCTTTACTTTTTCGTATGATGTCTACTTACTAATAAGTTCATTTTATTATTGTAGGGTTCTGATTCTCCTCTATTTAAAATTAGTCAATTAAATGAAAATGAATCCAAAGAACTTTGTCGTAAATTATTCGAAAAAGTAATTGATCTTAAAGAAGATGATAATAAAAATCAACGTAATTATGAAGAAATGAAAGTAAGAATTTATTTTTTTCAATTATATTTCAATTCTTTTTTTTTAAAATTTAGTCTCAACTTATTGAACAAACTGAAACAATTAATGAATTACAATCACGTATTCAATCATTATCACTTGATCATGATCGTCGTTTAACATCTATTCAACAAACACATGAAGAAGAAAAACAATTATTACTTGGACAATTACAAGAATCATCAAATCAAATAAAAGAACTTGAAAAAGATTTATATTTCTATAAACATAAAACTAGAGAATTACGTAAATCCATGGCAACATCAATAACAAATGTTAGTGATCTATCAACACAACGAAAACATTCCAATACAAATGACGATGATTTACGTTTACCAAGATCATCTGTACAACAACCAACACCATTTATTCTTAAAATAGGTAATCGAAGTAATTCAACACATAACTCATAAAACAATACATCTAAAAGAATAATAATCTCATACAGTGATCTCTTTTATTTAATATTATTGCTGTTGTTGTGTTTTTTTTTTGTGTTTTGCAGTTGTAATATGCTCTTTTAGCTATCTGTATACCTGTGGTAAATGTTCTGTTTTTTTCTTGTTTATATTACACAAGAAGGCTAAAATAAATAAACAACATCTTAAAGATAAAATCTCATTTAATCAAACTATCAACATAGTACTGTCATAGATCGAAACGTTAGCATTTAAGATTAAGATGAAATATTCATTTTGTATTTTTTGTGATGCTACGACCAATGATATCTCATATAATAACATTTTCAAACATTCAATGTTCTGTGGATTCTCTTAAGATTTTTTTTGCGCGGCTATTGTAGATTTATACTTATCAGGCTATCTACTAAAAACATTCATGCATTTGATTCATTTGTATTTTATCGTTGTATGATAGCTTGATATAGCAAAGACTGGCAGTCTCAAATCACATTATATTTTTGTATTACACTATTTAAAAAGTTTAAAAGTCAAGGTTTTATAGAATATCGGGCAGTCTAGGGTCGAAAAAGTATGATTAATGTGAAATTCAGCCGAAAAATGAAAGAGTTTGTTGAAAAATGACGCGAACAATATGAAATCATTTTTTCCATCAACAAAACCTCTTAGTATTTGTATAAAACTGAATATTATTATTGAAAAAATTATAATGAGTTTGGTTAAAAGCATAAAAAGCAAATGTTTCTCGATTCATGAATCAAATATTGAATGTGATATTCTAACGAGGGAACCTCACCAACTGTTCAATCGCTTTTTTAATAAAAACCATTGGGATAGAGGTTATCAACCATACTGATTCCGAATATGAGTATGAGAAGTGCCCTTAGAGATTTACAGTATGGTCCTCTAGAAAACCGGTTTCCAAAAATCACATACTTTTTACTATCCAGACAGGCATAATCTTTAAAAAACGCGTTCAAACAGCGTAAATACGGTGTTTCAACAGCAGACTACAATAAAAACGGCTTTTTTATGCGTTTTTAGGCGTTTTTTTTAAAGATTATGCCTGTCTGAATAGTAAAAAGTGTGTGATTTTTGGAAACCGGTTTTCCAGAGGACTATTCTGTAAATCCCTAAGGGCACTTCTCATACTCATATTCAGAATCAGCATGGTTGATAGCCTCTATTCCAATGGTTTTTATTAAAAAAGCGATTGAACAGTTGGTGAGGTTCCCTCGTAAGACTATAAACTAGTATTTACTACATAAGAGAAATTGTTTTTGAAAATAGTTGAATTAGAGTTTATCACAAGGTAAATATTTATTCCAGTTTTTTTGCAAACCACTGTTTATTATCGTGCATCTTTGACATCTTAATTTTATAATTTTAGTATCTCCGACCGATACTCATACTATAATAAAAATATAATTTAATCAAAAAATATATATATCATATATTGCATAGATTTGTTTTGAATACACTGAAATTATTCACTAGTTTCCTAATCAAAGTTTGAAAAATGTTGATACAAGTTACCTTTAACAATGAATTGTACTAGTTTAATTCTTCGGGAAGCTATTTGAATTATCAGATTGATTATAAATGTAAAAATGAATTAAAACATTCGGCTTTCTTTTTTTTTCTTTAATCTGTGTTGAATACAGGACAACAAAAAAAACGAACGAGTGACAATAATAGAAATAACAAACAACACACTTTTCTTTTTTTTTGTTCATTACAGTCAATCAATTCTATTGATCTATTTGTTTGAATCAGCCGATTTAGCTTTTGGATTTTTGAGAACAAGTATAACACTATCACCACGTAAGAACATTTTTGATATATAACGATCTTTGTTAACCGGTTTTAATACACTTCCTTTGGCATCACCACCAGCTGCTGCAGCAGCTTTAGCTTTACTTGATTTTGGTGTTTCTTGCCATAATTCTGTAACATCTTCTAAAACCATATTACAATGTCGATCGAATGCTTTAACACGTGCTAATAATTTTCTATTATTTCGACAGGCAATTAATACTTGTGTATTATTTTTAACTGCATCTGTTAATAACGATAATGGTCCAGTACGAAATTCTTCTTCTTCTCGTTGTTTCAATTCTTCCGGTGTCATCTCTTGTTTAGGTTTTGATATAAGACTTGTTGACATTTTTGGTTGATCTTACTTTTTTAAAATGAAATTTAAGCAATAACAAATATGAAATGATTTGTATTTTGTAACACAAAGTGATGAAGAAGAAGACATAAGATTGGTCATGAATTGATTACCCATTTAAAAATAACTGATGTCGCTAGTATCGTAACCAATCACATGAAAACAAATATTAATCGGTCGAGTTGAGTTATTCATTATTCAGTTATTGTTTATTTTATACTCGATAAAATGCCAAACATCCGTGGAGATGCTATGCGCGGTTTAGCCGTCTTTATCTCGGACATTCGAAATTGTAAGAATATGAAAAAATTCATTCTTATTTTTCTCTAAATTACCCTGATCTTTTTAATTAGGTAAAAGTCGTGAAGCTGAATTACGACGTATCAATAAAGAATTAACTAATATTCGACAACGATTTCGAGGTTTGAAAATTTTTTAAATTAGAAAAATTAAATCTAGAGGATATTATTTTAATAGCTGATAAAACTCTTGATGGATATCAAAAGAAAAAATATGTATGCAAACTATTATTTATATTTTTACTTGGTCATGATATCGATTTTGGGTATATGGAAGCAGTTAATTTATTAAGTTCAAATAAATATACTGAAAAACAAATTGTTTGTATTAAATAAATTGAAAAAACATTAATCTATAAATAAATATTTAATATTTCAGGGTTATTTATTTATTTCTGTTATTATGAATTCAAGTTCAGAAATGAAACAATTAATTATACAAAATATTCGTAATGATATACAAAGTCGAAATCCAATATTTATTAATTTAGCATTACAATGTGTAGCTAATATTGGCGAACGAGAAATGGCAACTGCATTTACTAATGAAATACCTCGATTACTTATATCAGGGTTTGTTGAAAAACAGTAGTACTTTAATGAAATTGTAATTTTTTTTTGTTTTATTTAGAGATACAATTGATCCTGTTAAACAATCGGCTGCTCTCTGTTTATTGAGACTTCATCGTACAAGTCCAGATTCTTTACAATTAAATACAGAATGGACTGCAAGAATTATTCATCTTCTTAATGATCAACATTTAGTAAGAATTATATATATTGAGAAGAAAAAAATTATTTATTATTTTTCAGGGTGTTGCAACAGCAGCTGTTAGTTTAATTGATGCACTTGTTAAACGTAATCCAGATGAATATAAAGGTTGTGTTAATTTAGCTGTATCACGTTTAAGTCGAGTATGTTTTTTTGCGAATTTATCTTATATATTAAAATATATAAATAGATTGTTACATCATCGTATACTGATTTTCAAGATTATACTTATTATTTTGTTCCAGCACCATGGCTTTGTGTTAAATTATTAAGATTATTACAAAATTATCCTCCACCAGGTAATTTATCTATATTCAGTTTTTCTTTTTGTATTTATTTATTTTTATTTAATTAGATGATCCATCAATTCGAAGTCGTTTAAATGAATGTCTTGATACAATTCTTAATAAAGCACAAGAACCATTAAAATCAAAAAAAGTTCAACATTCAAATGCACGTAATGCTGTTTTATTTGAAGCTATTAATCTTATTATACATATGGATTGTGAATCAACATTACTTGTACGTGCTTGTAATCAACTTGGTCAATTTTTACAAAATCGAGAAACAAATCTTCGATATCTTGCATTGGAAAGTATGTGTTTATTAGCAGCATCGGAATTTTCTCATGAAGCTGTTAAAAAACATCAAGAAACAGTTATCAATGCATTAAAAGTAAGAATAATACTAATAGTAAAATATGACATTTTTAGCTTGGAAGAATAAAATTCCTCAAGGCATCTTACTCTAATATAAATATATAGGATTTTATAAATTCTAAAAATATGAATACGAATTGTTTTAGAGTGAACGTGATGTTAGTGTTCGTCAACGTGCTGTTGATCTTCTCTATGCAATGTGTGATCGTTCGAATGCTGAAGATATTGTACAAGAAATGTTAACATATCTTGAAACAGCTGATTATACAATTCGAGAAGAAATGGTAAAATCAAAAAAATCATTTTCTTGCCTAAATAAATATAGTTATTCTATTTTCAAAGGTTCTCAAAATAGCTATATTAAGCGAAAAATATGCAGTTGATTATAAATGGTATTTAGATATTATGCTTAAATTAATTCGTATTGCTGGAGATTTCGTATCTGAAGAAGTAAAATTTCTTTTTATGCTTTAATTGTTATTTTTTCTATAATATAAAATTAGGTTTGGTATCGTGTTATACAAGTTGTCGTTAATAGAAATGATGTTCAAAGTTATGCAGCTAAAATAGCTTTTGAAGCTTTACAAGCACCAGCTTGCCATGAAAATATGATTAAAGTAGCTGGATATATACTTGGTGAATATGGAAATTTAATTGCACTTGATCCACGATCAACGTAAGAGAATAATTAATAATTTTGTTTTTCTTATGTTTTGATATTTAATTAGACCAATGATACAATTTGAATTACTTCATTCGAAATATCATTTATGTTCACCAACAACTCGTTCTTTAATTTTATCAACTTATATGAAATTTATTAATTTATTTCCAGAAATAAAACAACATGTACAAGATGTTAGTATTAGATTTAATAATAATTATTATTATTTAATTTATTTCTTATTTAGATTCTTCGTCATGATTCAAATTTTCGTAGTTCAGATGTTGAAATTCAACAACGAGCAATTGAATATCTTCGATTAAGTGAAATATGTAGTCCAACTGTATTAGCTACTGTATTGGAAATTATGCCACCATATCCAGAAAAACAATCACCATTACTTGTTCGTCTTAAACAAAAGAAACCA